CGGTGGGTGATTTGTTACTTTGCTTATGGGCAATTGTTACAGCCAAGCAGACTCTAAGCCCATGCCCAGGTGTCCCTTTATTCACTAAAATGTGTTTTGTACAGTAAAATATGCACTCTGAACAGATGCCCAGTTTTACACAAAGGTTTCTGTGATATCAGTTTGCTTTTTACTGGCAAAAAGTAAAACAGTTTTTAAAACAAACCAAGGAAGTACACTAAACCTTGTAATCTTACTTATTATGAAAACCAAATATATGTAAACTGTGAAGAATGCTTTTCATTAAATGTGAATTTGTTTTGCATTAGAGTAGTTCCTATCCAATATATTTCAATAAAACAGATTGGGCAACAAAGTGTTTTGCCTCTAGGGAGTGGGAGACACTATATATATAAATGGCAAACCAATGTGCAAACATCTTAATATAAAATGAATTGGCATTCCTTGTTTAAACTAAATGATAAGGTTTCATCTACTTAATACGGCTCATTTCAAAAAGACCAGTGATTGATGAAAATTGTTTACAGAGTTTAAATTAGCTCAGCCTTAATTCAATTGAACTCCCCAGAAATCTCCTCATGGAATTGTGATGAGATTTCCTCTTCCATGTTGTATGAAGATACAGAAAATATAAGTCATTCAAAGTAGCCCTCACAAGCTAAACCGGTACAGTATACTCTCATAATAGGTTGTTACTAATATGGTTCGGCAAAGGGCTCATTACCATGTTTTATATGTAGCTTGTATTAGTGTTTTCCAAGACAGTAATTGCCCCTGTGTTTTATCATTACTGCATGCCTTGACTGGAGAATGGCACTGCTCTATCAGTATACAGTGCAGCACCGTGTCTTGGGGATGTACTATAAAGTGATTATAGCTCTGGACTTGAGTGGAATGGGGTAAAATCCTGGGTGGGAGACTGCTGTTATAGCCTTTAGCAATATACTTTACTTAAATTGCTTCTCAAATGCACCGATGTCCAAATGGGTACTCTCACTATCACCACTGCAAATGATAATTGGTTCTCAATTGACTCATCTTGTTAAATTAAGGATTAAATTAAAAACATTTGATATCACTCTTCCTTATATTTAAGTAATGGAAAACATCAAATTCGGTGTGACAAGTTAGAATCCAGCAGTAATTTTTTACATTGTGCCTCAGGTCTACATTTTGCAACTCACAAGATGACAGCTGCTACTGTACTTCTGCTGAAAGCAGTTCATACTACTTTGCAATTTAATGTGTCTGCCGAAACAGCAAAGATTAATGAAATATAGCCTTTCTCATTATGAATATTGATTTCTTTTCCACATAATGATTCCCCCAAACTTTTTAGGGATTATTTTCAAACTTATTAAAACTTGGATGTATCTTTAGCAAGCTGTATTGCAATAGTATGGTTAAAACTCTTACTGTCTGGGCTTATGACGTAAATATCAGAGAACAAAATTATTTTTCTGTTATCTGAAAGATTTTTACTATGAAGAGAAGTCAGCAGGTAGAAACTCACAAGATGAAACAGTTCTAATGCGATCTATACAGTTCCACACTCAATGCCTATACAGTGTGTTTACACCTTCTGCAATGCAGTGCATCTTCAGCTGTAAAGAGAAATTGATCTGAAGTGCAACAATATCTGTTCTTGTATTGTGGTAAACAAAATAGTGCATACAATTCTAAATAAGGTCTTACTAATGCATTGTACAATTCTAAAATAATCCCTTGATTTGAATTATATACTTTTAATTAAAATATGAAATGTTCTTCTTTTTTATTGCTTCCCAACAGTACATGTCTGGAACATGTACTGTAATGAAGTGTCAACATCAACATTAACTGTTTGGGAAGGATAATGGTAACCTACAGTAGGTGATTTTCACCCCTGCTGCTTTAAATAATATTAATTCCCAAAGTCACATCTCTCTTTGTCTTTGACAGCAGATCCTTTTAATTGTGTACAGAAATTTCACCCATTTCCTCATTCTTTCCATCAGCTCCTTCCAAAGCAGAGATGTTGACTGCAGTCTTTTTCCATCATACACATCTTCCAATGCTCGCTTTTCTTCTAGCCTCACACTGCCAGAGCTCTGTTTCACCTTCAGAATTCACAGAGACATTAGTTCACCCTGCTCATGGTCAAGAACATGGTGACCACACACACGTCATTCACCATCCATCCATTTGCTTTGAGGACCCTTCTTTCTATGAACATCACAAGCGGTTTTCTGCTAAATCTGCACCTCATCTGCTCCCGTGAAAATTCTGACTAGCCCTGGATATTGTACCTTACTGATCCGTTTCCATTTGCATCAGATCCCTCCTGAGTCATTTACTCTTCTCAATCTCTGCCCCACAGCTATCTCCAAGACTAGCCTTAATCCTTCTGTCTCCCCCCCCCACCCTCTATCTTCACCTTCCATTCCAAGAATCTCCATGTTCATCCTGTCATGTTTATCAAATTTCAATTTCTCATTCTGCTCTATCTCTTTTTGCCATTCCATGCATATATGTAGTTACTGTGGTGAAGCTCATGCTTGCTCAATGTTTCCCCTCTGCCATTACATGTAGTCGTCATTGGCCTTATAGTAGGCCTCTTTGTTTCACCTCCTTTTTCCATTTACCATATAAGTCCAATTGCAGTCACTGCTGACAAGTATTACAAGAAGAGGTGTTTAACGATTGACCAGTGAGCCACCAATAACTCCTTTTCCAATCATTAACTGCTTGATTCCTAGTGCAGATCTGTCACTTCCACACACCACTGCCATTTCCCTCATTCAGATAGTAGGATACTGCATTCCAAAACTGACACTGCAATTCCTTCAAATCATGCGTTTTGACCCTGATCTTTGGCACCTCCTCAGCATATATAGGAGAGATAAGTTTAACTTCACAGATCTTGGACCTTAAGAGGAACACCCTAAGCACTCTGCTTGATCCTACAAACTCCACTTTCTCCATCATCTTCTGGCGAATTTTCTTTGAATCAATTTGCCCAGTGCTCCCCCACCAAGATCCTCATCAACCTGATCTCTGTTTTAAAAAAATGTTGATCTATCTCACCACACTTGGATAAAACCTTCCTCTGTTGTCATTGAATGTCTTCAAATTGTATCAGTTCAGAATGTTACTTAAGCCTTCTCACTTAATTATCTATAATTATTAGCAAAGGTAGTTAACAAACAGAAATAGAAAGCTTCTGATTTCTTTCTACCTTTCCACTAACCTGTCAGCTAAGTGTAAACCTGTCAGTTAAAAAAGTAAATCTGGTCCATGCTGGGTCTCTTCATCTGTTCTATGCAAATTGATCCAAAAGGCTCAGCATTCATTTCAGATCTCTTGGATTTCACGTTATCAGTCTCCTCACTTACTTCAAATCTTCACTTCAAATAGCAAAGTAAAGCTTTAGTCGTGTCATTTATTTCTTGAAAAACTGGAATGGGCTGCCCTTTTTTTACATTGAGTTTCTATCTTCTTCTAAAGCATTTACAAACATGGCCCCTTCTGTCAGCTTTGGAGGCTATTGTGAAAGTAATTGGTTTGTATCAACCTGGCCTTCTGCTTTTTTCTTCCTCCTATCTTCTTAACATTTTTCCTCCTTATTCAGATTATACTCAGTTTTCCTGTTTGCCTCTCTTTGGTCTATAATTGGAAACAAAAATATATTTTTTTATTTATTCAGCCAACCTCACTGTCATCCATATCATGAATAAAGGGAGAAAGGGAGCTTGAATTCCCCCAAGCTCATGATGAAATTCCTCCATCATCTCAAATGGCCATTACTAATTAAATCGTAGTTAGATTTGTTTCTAATTTTTATCTCATTAGCTTCTTTTTGTAGCAGTTCATATTCTTGGCTATTGCCATAGCATTGCTAACAAGGGCTTGATTCTCTGCAGAACAATTCTGAGGCCATTCTTTTTGGATAGGTAGAGCCTCTTTTTATGCCCATCAAGGCATTTCCACCTACTGAATTAGAAACATGGCTGTCAGTCATCAGAGGTCCTGAAACAAGCATCCCATTAGCTTTAACTACCCTAAATAATTCAGGTAATTTATCATTGTGCGTTAGTCTCTTAGAGTCTTCAGGTTTCTAATTTTTTTCTTTCAATGCATTGGTGGTTTATGGACCTGCTTGGTTCTTCCTGGGTCTCCTATCCTCCTTATTTTATGGAAATGGCCCTTATCCATGTGGGCCAAGCTCACTAAATCTAATCACTTAATAAACATCCTTTAAATGCATTACATTCTAATTTTTGGGTGTCATTATGCCCTGTGAACTAAGGTTTTTAATTTAATCAATGTCAATGTCTCCAAAACCTTAAATGCAATCATAATAAGATTATTAATTATTAATAATAATTGTTATTATTATTTAGAAACAGTAGATAAAGCTGTTCTGTGAGGATGTTCATTGAATGATAGAATAAACAGAATCAATTAAGTAATCCTTCAATGTCCATAACATCCCTTTTTATTTGACTCAGGCCCCTCATTAAGCCCACATGATCCTTTTGGATTTTTTCTGCTTTTAGCCAAAGAAATATAGTAGATATAGTAGAATATATATATAATATAGTAGAATGTTTTATGGTGAGATTATTCAGGAATGAGCACAGACAGTTGTCTTCTTAATGTGAGGTTTCAGTTCCTTAGTAAATCCCTCAATAATAAATATTGTAGCCATAACAATTTCTTAGAACCATCTGTGATGACACCATTATTTTTAGGCAATTTAGTTAGTTTATCTTTGCTGTTTTTGTAGTAATGCTACTGTAAAGCATTTTTTGCAAAGCTTCCATCACTATATTCTTTTTCTTAACATTTTTACTGTATATACAAATCTCTTTCAGATCATGTAGATAAGTCAGCATTAAATTAAATTAATCATAAAATTGTTACTTAATGTGCCAGGAAGTAAATTAGTGAAAGAGGCAATGTTAAATATGTATTTGACTGTCTATGCTTTAACTTTGTGTTGTTGTTTATCCTTTCAGATACAGCAGTATTTTTCCCATCTTTTAATGGAAAGTCTTACATGGAGATCCCTTCACCTCTGGCTCTGCTGAAGCACGGCACTGACAGTGACCCCCCGTTATCTCCAGATGCAGAAAACCCTGTTACCCTTTACATCACAGTGAAAACAAATGCTTCACAGGGCACCATACTTTACAGTGAGTACAAACATGGTTTTGCATTGTGTAGTTTGGTCTTGTAGCCTATATTCCAATTGTTATCCTCCAGAAAAGCATACAAGTGTATCCATCTCACATACAGTACCATGCATACATGGACAGAACGTGTTTTACTAAACCAATAAAATGTAGTTTATCGTTGGACAATATAACATGACAGTAGCGAACAGAAAGAGGCCTCATGAGTAGACATGCTGGTAAAGGCACTCTGGGCACAGAACTGCAGTTCGAGCCTGGTCACATCACTAGCTGACTGTGTCTGGGATTCCGCAAGCAGCGAAGTGCGATTGACTGACAGTCATGGAGAGCAAGGTGGGATTAGTCTTCCTGGACTGTCTCTGAATAACCACAACTGACTATTCCAAACCAGGCAGGTACTGTATAATAAATGTAATTGGGAATTCTAAATGTATAAAAACAGAATAAAAGGCTGATATTGACAGCAGTGAAATGGAGACCTTCAGAAAAAAATGCAAGGATAATCCAAGCTTAGGGCACAGGCATGTTCTAAACTGCTTGGCTATTGTTAAAGATTAATACTATGATAGGAACCCCTATAGCAGAAAATGTCTACCCTAAATTACAGTTAATTTTATTTATGTGACCTTTAATTGTTTCTTAAATTGTTAAGTTACATGATCAGGGTTTGCAAAAACATTCTTCAAGGCTAGTCACCATGTTCAGTACGTTTAACGTGAATTAATATGCCTTGTACATAATATTTGAGCAAATATTTTTTACTGATCACAACCTTTGTTCACAACAGACAGGCAAAAAGCTGCATTTATAAGACCATTAGCAAGAGATAAAATTAAACAGGAATCTTACTCTCTACACATAATTCTGCCACCTTTGCCACATACTGTATAGCTGGATGGGACACTTGCTATTATGCTGCAGGATACCATATAAGACACATTGCTTTTTACTCAGAAAGGAAAAGGAAATTGACATTTCATCAAATAATGTGATGTTAAAATAGTGCTACAGAAACTCCTGAAAGACATTCAGCACCTAGAATAACATCTTTCCCTGGTTCCAATACACAGTAAAAGACTAGTGGATCAGTGGTTTGAAAGCTATAAGATTAAGGGTTCAGCAAACACAACAATGCTACAGAAATAAAAAATATACAGTATGTTGAGCACAGACACGAGATGTTCATGGCAAAGACATCACAATAAGCAAAATCTGTACTAAGAGCTATGTTTATAAAAATAACGAAACTAAGGATAGTTTGCAAGTTCTGTGTGATTAAGTTATTACTGTACTATGTAAACAAAGGACTCTGTGCAAAGGCAAATAAACAAATTACAGAACAAGCAGACCAATTAAAAGCATCAATCAACAGTAGTGATTAACAGCTCAGTTAGGATGAAAACCAGCAGACACAGGGATCCCTCAGGACCAGGGCTGGGAACCTCTGATCTAACAGAACAACTGTTTAGAAAAATATATGCTCTCAATAAAGAAAACAAGTGACAACAGCAGAGTACCAGTCTGTGCACATGAACAGATGGACTGTAATAAAGAGCTTTTTTTGCTTTCTTTCACCAGTGTTTGCTCGACTGTAATGTCAGGGTCATATTGTATAATGTGGGTTGAGTCTTTGAAGAAGAGCAAGTATGTTTTACATCTCAAATTAAGTCTTTCAAAGCAGCAAAATTCTGGAAAACAATTGAGTAAAATTAAATAATGTGTGAATCCTGGCAAATACATCTTGGTATTTAACATTAAATTAATAATGTTATACTGTATATATGAGATCTATAATGGATTTTTCCAGTTTAGTAATGTACTGTAAGTGGACATATTTATGTTTATGAATGAATCAAAAGTTAAACACTTCATCATATTATAGGTGTTGACAAATGTACAAACTACTGTATATACATAGTGATTTTTTATTAAGAAAACATTTAATGTTCTTGTTAGTCAAATGGTGAAAGTACAATGAATGAAGCAGCTTAGGTAAAAAATGCAGTTGTTTCCTTTTTCCTTTTATAGTTATACATGACTGACATACAGTACCTATCAGTATATACATAGTTATCATACCAGATACTTATTGGGATGACACATAGGAGAATAATATATTAAATTGTATGTTTAGCATTATCTGTAAGAAGTCTTGAAATTATTTAAAACTGCAGTGTGACTGTAATGAATAAGATTTGTGAGATGTTATTTAGTTTGCTTCAGGATGTCCCGTCCTTTTTAACAATCTCATCTAACTTCATGCTACATTAGGTTTCATTGTATGAGTTTTGGCTGGTGTTGCCTTAAGCTTGTAATGTGTGTTAATACTAGCTCTTGAGATTGGGTGTGGGAGCTTAGTAACCCTGAAAGGGAAATTAATTGCATCTCACAGGAAAATGACCTCTTGTCCTCAAGACCAGGAAACCCAGACATTGTAGGGTTTTATTCAGGTAATAGCCTATGCAGTGATATGGCTCCAAATGAACTAATTTCAAATTCAATTTCATTGCAAATGAATACTGCAATGTTAGCCAACATCAAAGAAACTTTGCTGGTCATACCGAGACTTGCACTATTGTAGTTGATTTAATTGTTTAGTTTTTGTAAGAACTAATTGTGACACAATAAAATAATGTTTTGAATAATATTGTCTCCCATGTTCCTCTTCACCCACCTCTGAAGCATTCCCCAGGTGATAGCTCCTTCCTCCCTTGAATTCCTATTCCATCATCCCTTCTCAAGTAGCAACCTCTTCCATCCACAATAGTAGAGCACCCCCTTATGTAGTTTCCTTGTCCCTTCTGTGGCCCAGTGAGCAATGAAGAGCTACATATATACAATGTCAAGAAAGGAAGGGGGCACTGATGTCAGGGGAATGAAAGTGGATGTCGACACAACTGCGAGACTCTGAACAGATACGAAATATTAATAATAGTAAGGACCAAATAATAAGGACAAAATTTACATTAAGTGAAATTCCAGAGTAAACTAAGTTTTATGTTATCCTTACAGATTACACGTCCTTCTCATCGTGGCCATGAAACAGGAGCGTCAGTGTCAAACCGAACTGTAACTTGACATGATAAAAATAATTTTAAAAAAATTTGAATGTTTGGTAGTGATAATTCACAAGAGTGCACAATGGGCATACTTTAGTCCAATAGTAGTTGGATGAGGATGAGAGGGAGTGGAGTAGAACTACTAGATAAATGACGTGGGGGAGTACATTCCTTATACTAGAGAAATGTCCTCCTATATAAGTGGTTCAGGTGTGTAGTTGCGCCAACATGCATAGTCTGCAAAGAAACAAGTAATAGGTTTATTCCATGCTGAAAAGAGAAGAAAGAAAGCACAACGTTTTGGCTGTGAGGCCTTCTTCCTATATAAATGCCTTAGTTGTTTTCAGATTATGGTACTGAAATTAATTAGCACAGTTGGATGTAAGAATAGATTTTGAACACCAAGATATTTAAACAGCTTAACTAGTTGTATGTTTACAAGTAGAATCATGCGTCTTTCAAGATGTAAAAGCCAGCAAAGCACATTTTCACCATTTAATTTTACATTCCAAAAGCAGGCTACAAAATCATTCAAATGCCCAATTTAAAACAGAGTGAGAAAAATCAAGTGATAAAAATAGGATATTGTTAACAAAGGCACTACTGCATATTTTTATTTCTGAAAAAGAAGTATGGAATTAGTGCTTGTGTGGGTTTGTCAGTGCAATGACGAATATGGAGAGAGAGCCCTGAGGAGTGTGTAGAGACCCTGGAGTGCCCTGGAGCTGGGGTTCCACTCCTCGTCCTGAAACGCCACTCACCTGCTGGCTTTTGTTTAGCTCCACGACTGAATGTTTTATTACTGTCATAACAGGGGTCATTTGAATTGTTTTAGTCTCTTAAACATGTTCAAAGTTGTCTTTTAAGTATTACATTTCATAAGTAAAGTAAAATCTCAAATGAATGAGTCAGAAAATCTTTACAAAGATTCCAATCAAGCAACTTCAATTCAAATAGGTCCTTAACCCATCTGAAAAACAGCAGGTATGTGGTCCTACAGGATCAGGAGTGGGAACCCCTGCTTTAGAGCACCATCACTGAGGGATTTACAGCTAGCATCTTGATCATTTCTTATGAACTCAGTCCCTAAACTCATTTGTTCTGACACCAGACAGTAGTCTCATTCCACATGATCAAAGGCTTTTTCAGCATCTGAAAGAACGCTTGAAGATGGAGTTCTGGTATGAATGGCAGCATGAATGATGTGAAGGAATCGGCGAACATTATCTCTCGTTAGTTTCAAGTGTCAAGTTAGTGTCAAGCATTTTGGCACATAGTTTAGTATTTGAATTTATTAAGGGCAGGAGGTGATAGATAGAGCATGTAGAGGAGTCCTTATCTTTTTTCCGTTAAAAAGAAGTAACGGTATTGATGTCTGTTGTAAAGGAATCACTCTCTATTGCAGTCTGCAACTTCTCAAACAGACATTGCCCTGGCTGATCCCAGAAGGTGAGAAACAACTCAAACCAGGAAGCTTGCCTGTTTATAGAGCCTTTTTGAGCTCATAGATATCAGAGGTAGACAAATCAGAGCACCACGAGCAGCTGAGTTACTTCAAGAGAGAAGCTGCAGTTGAATGTCTTCAAGAAACTTTTTACATCTGTCATTGGATATCAAATTGGGCTAAAAGTAGTAGAATTCAAAGAGATTTTAACATTTTATTGTCAATTAAAGTTGGTTCAGAAGCTGTTACCTCTCAAATACAGGGAATACTTGCAAAGTTTTCATTGTTGTGGAGTCTAATAAATAAAAATCAAATCACCCAAAACATTTTTCACTGTGGCTCTGCTGCTTTGTGGCTTTTTCAGACTGGCTCTGTCTGCTGACAGAAATATAGGAATTATATACATATGTAAGTTGGTAAAGAAAACAAAGAAGACAGGATATCACACAAAAATTATGGAGCGTAATTGAAGACGAACGAATTGCTGTGTGTCATGT